TTGACCCAGCGGAGAAAGGCCTTGGCTGTCTTCTCCTTTGATGCTGTCTGCAGTGGTGGCATCTCTTCTTGTTGGAAGCGTTTCTGGAGGAGCTTAGGACGCCTGCACGAGACAAGAAGCTCATCTGTGCGTCGGAGTCGTGTTCTAAAGCTATTTTCTGCCTGTTGATACCTTCGCTTTATGAGATCGTGGTAGGTAGGTTGACGGGTTGGCAACGTTCTCCGCACAAGAGGATGAGCGTCGTCAAGTGATTTGAGCCGCGCGGAGAATCTCCATCGCCGTTTTTCCAAGAGTTGATCAACTGGCGGTATGCCGCTCTCGTGGTGGAGGATGGTGATGGGCGTCGTTTTCCAGATGGGCAGTATGGCTCTCATGGACTGGTGTAAGGCCTTGTTCATTCTTTGTATGAGATGTTGATTGCTCGATGGCGTGTCTCTATTAGGCTGACTCCATCGCGGTCTGGTGGTGCCCGGGTACCAGGCTTCAGATCCATGCAATAGTACCGGCTCGACACAAGCCATGACGGCACTTCGCACGGCGCTTGGGAGAGGGCCGTGTATCGTGTTGGCGAGACCCCGTAGATGATAGGCGACGGCATGCGCCTTGGCCGCCCACTTTTCGACGTGAACGCGGAACGATAGCCTGCTGTCAAGCCAGATGCCGAGCCAGCGTATGGCTGGCTCGGGGTGCTTCTCGACATCGCCGTGGCGTATAGCCGGCGTGGTCCTGAGTTTGCTGCGAGAGAAGTGCATGACTTCGGTCTTTTTCGGGTCAAACGAAACGCCATTTGCTGCACCCCATCGAACCATCTCGCCGATGGAGCTGGAGGCCGTTGCAGTGGTTTCATCTATTGTGTCGCCTATAGAAAGGATAGCCGTGTCGTCTGCGTAGCCGAAGCGGCCCTGAGGGTTGCCTAGTCGGTGGATTGGCTCAGTGTAGAGCAGGAAGAGGATGGGCGATACTGGTGAGCCTTGAGGCAGTCCACACTGGAGAGGAGCGAAGGGCGTGAGGGTGTCTTGATACCTCACGCGGGCTGAACGATCCTTCATGAAGGACTCAGCCCATCTGACGAGATGGTCGGGCCAGCCCTGTTCACGGAGACGCAAGACTAGTCTCTTGCGCATGACGGTGTCGAAGGCACCTTGGATATCCATCGTGACCAGGGTGGCCACCTTCTTGCGTGCAAATGCTTCTTCGATATCGTGGATCAAGGCGGTCACCAGGTCTGTTGCCGACCTTTTGGGGAGAGCGCCCGCCTGTTGTGGATGAAGGACGCCATAGTGAACAGCTGCCCACGCCAAGCGGCGAGCGATCAATCTTTCCAGCCCCTTTCCGAGACAGGAGAGCAAGGAGATGGGTCGCCATGCCCCTGGCTTTGTGAGGTCTCGTCGTCCCGGCTTCGCGATCATGACCACCTCCGCCTGCTTGAATGGTTCCGGGTGATGACCCAAGGAGAGGCACCTTTCGAACAAACGACGGATATGCGTCCCGACGATGTGCCACACGGCTTTGAGAAGATTGACGGTGATGCTATCCGCCCCAGGGGAAGTATTGCCTGTATGGATAGTCGCATGCTGTGCCTCGTCTAGGGAGACTTCGGGTGAGAATGTGATCGATCGAGGAGGAGAGACTGGTGTCCAGGGGTCTCCAATATCGTCATCAGAAGTTCGGCGTTCCAGTAACGCTCCCCGAAGTGCGCTCGCCTTGTCCATCTGAGTTTCGTATACAGCGTCGTCGACCTGCAGGGGAGGCGGCTGGAAGGGCCCCGGAGATTTCAGCCACCGGACGGTCTTGAAGACAGCACTGCTGCTGGAGAAGCTATCGATGAGTTCCCGCCAGTACTTTCGTTTTGCTCGGCGGACCACGCGATGAAAGTCTCTCTTGGCGATCTGAACATCCTGATTGAAGCTGAGGGGGTGCCTCCTTCTGATGGCCCGGAATGCAGCCGCGGCACAGGCGCACTCTTCTGTCCACCATGGAGCTGGGCAGCCACCTTTCCGTGAGGGCCGACCCACTGCCTTCGCTGCTGATGTTAGCAGATTTACAAGTGAAGACGCAAGATTGTCCAGCTCCGCGGGCGTTGAATCTCTGAGGGGGATCTCTGTGGCTCCAAGCTCTACGATCTCGACGAATCGTTTAAGCTCATCTTCTGTCGTCACTCGAATCTTGCCCGGCTGTAGTGGAGCGGGCTTTATGTTGGGGAGAGTCAAGCTGAGGGTGAAGTGGTCGGAGCTAGTGGCGAGATGGTCCTCAACAGTGGCTTCAGCAAGTGGGATGTTGGCAAAAGCGAGATCGATTGTGTTGCCGTGTGGGTTTGTTGGGATATCTAACGTGTTAAGCAGGTCGATGTCATTCTCTGATGCCCAACCGGCAATCTCTTGGCCGCGGTCCGTAGTCTGCCCTGTCTGCCAGCTTCGATGTCTAGCATTGAAATCGCCAGCGACGAGGCAGCGTTCCGGGACAGGCCATCGAAGCAGCGTGTCAAGGGCATCCCTTTCGTCGTTCTGGCGGTAGAAGTTGACTACAGTCACGCCATTGATTGTGATCCAGAGAATATCGCGAGTCTGGAACGGTCGTATCTGGTCAGCGAGAAGCCTTGGGTCTCGTCGGACATATGTCATCACTCTAGGTCGAGTATCGTTACTGTCCCAGGACTCTACTGGCGTGAACGTGTCGTAAGCAGGATGGGTCTTCGTCAGGCAGCGCGTTTTCGTATGGGCTGTCCACGGCTCCTGCAGGAGCACGATGTCATATCGTTCCGAGTCAGCCAGTGCCAGAGCGCAGTCGTGAGCCGGAGGGATCTTGCCGACATTGGCCTGGAAGACCTTGAGCGGCTTCCTGTCGTTCTTTCGTGTCTGCGAATATCTATTCCTGGTCATGAGGACGAGTAATGAGTACAATTCGACGCTTTCGTGGCGAGCCTGGTCTAGGATGCTCGGGCTCCTCCATTTCATAACCCGCCCTGGGGGCGGTGGCCACCATGATGCACGAAGGTGCTCGTGACGCGGCCGGGCTCGAGTCTCGAGCGTCTGGACGTTCGTCTGCTGGGGTATCGTCCCTCAGCAGCTCGGTCGTGTCTTGTCGGATTTCTATGTGGGATTCTGGTTGTGAATCCAAGTGACGTTGTCGGTACGTCTCAGCGCCCACTATTCTGATGTGTTCCCGTTGTTCTTTGCTGAGCCGGCGGAGGACGCCACGCACTTTCTTCGGCCGGGTGACACGTACAGGCGCTCGTGGCTAAGCAATTGACGCACTGCTCCCATGCAGCGCAGTCGTCTCCAGAGTGGCCAGTCTTGCCACAGCGTTGGCAGACTGGCTGTCTATGGCACTTGCGGGTAAAGTGGTAGCCCCAGCACGTTTCGCACTGCTTGGGGTACGTCGCTTTTGTCTACGAGTCTGGCCGCCCGGCTCCCGAAGAGGGACCAGAACCTCTTCTTGGTGGGCTTCAGGAAGGAGACAAGGAGAGCCTTGGTCAAAGGGTTATCCGAGAATTGTCTTCCAGGACGTATATCAACGGGCTTGAGCCCTGTCTGGATTTCTATCTCATCACTGACAACGCTGTCACTATCCACCTCGTTGCCGCGAAAGTCGGTCAGTCTTCTGGGAAAGTTGAGACCACGTAAGTATGCCATTCCTTGTTTTTTTCTACCGCCGTAGCTCCCAGCTCAGCCGCCCACTCGGCCTGCTTCTCTACGAGAAAATCGCGTGTTTCATGGTCGGCCAGTAAGGACTGCCAATCCCGACCTGACCGAAACTGGTGACCTTCCGAGACGGTGCCGAGTTTTTCCCTGATCAGGGTCCGGATGGCATAGCCGCTATGGTCCCTAGCCGGAGCTCCGGCTTCTAGACGGACGAAGACGCGGAGGTCCTGTCGGGGGGGGCGGGGGGGCTTTGTTGCTCTTGGCGATGAGGTGGGCCCTTTGTCGGTGCTTTGTTTTTGATGATGATGATGCTGGTGGGCTGTGCGGGCGCGGTCAGCGGGGAGCGAGGCGGCGGCGACACTGCTGTAGGTAGGTTTAGAACCTGGTACATCGCTAGAACTTCTTCGCAGGACGCTGTCGACAAACTTCTGAGCGAAACGTCGGCGGTCGGAGGTGAATTGCTTGTTGGCTTCTTCAAGCTTGGCGCCAGAAGGCCTGGAAGACCATTAGTTTGGCGTCGTACTCTTCCGCGTGTTTACGCGCGAGATCATTGGCCGATTCGATAATAGAGATTGGTTGCTGTTCAGGGGTCGATGCGGGATTGGCACGCTCAGCTCTTCGTACTCGAGGGGGCGGCGTTGAGTGGCGGGACGGTGTCTGGGCCGTCCGCCCAGGTCTGGGTGAAACACCAATGGGGCTGTTCACGACCGCGGGGCTGTTCTGCAAGAGGGCTGCACGGGCTCTTCGGTTCAGATTAGCGGGAGTGTGGACCCCTAGATCAAGGGCGGGGCCGAGGGGGGACGGGAGAGAAGCCATCGCTGCGACTTGCGACTGCGCAAAGCGCAGATTGAAATGTTTGTTGTGCACTTGTTAAGGATTTTGGTGTAGACAGGGCCACTTTCTTAACACTTGTATGCCAAGAAAGTGTGATGACGAAGGAAGGTGCGGCGGAAATAGGTGTTCTGTTTTTTGAACCAATGCAGGGTAGGAGAGTCATCATGTAGGTCGCACTGGTCATGCCAGTGCAGTGCAGGCAAGCTACCACCAGTCCGGCGCATCCTAACAGCAGCACGGGCAGTGCAGCAGCGCGGTACCCACCATTTTAGGGCACTCCTCCAATGACCCCACTGTATTTCCATCAACGTTTAGGGACCTTCCACTAATAGCGTGGAGCCCAAGGCCGTCTATCCACCATTTTTCTAGTTGCTCAGCTCAGATGTGGCATACATGACGTACGCTTAGAGTCAAGGGAGAGTAGGCGGGGGATAAGATGAGGGCAAAGATGAGGGCAAAGATGCGGGCAAAACCAAGCTTATCGCGGTGCTGATGTAGAACGCATCGCGCTACCAACATTTCTCACATTATTACTCACCCATCTCAATCAACAAGATCGAGTAAATACGAGGAGATTCGGTCGGAAATACCATGATGCGGGATAATCTGATGTCGCATGCGTCAGTGATTGGCAAAGACCTCGTATCGACGTCCAATTTTAACATGCTTGCGGACGAGAAACGCACCAATTGTAGAGCTGGACGAGCTCAAGTCTCCGCTTTTGGCGTGTTTCCCCTCGTTAGCTTATTTCTAATTTCCCATGCCAACCCCGTCGAGTCCAGTCCATCCCGTCTTTGTTTCTCCATCCGACAGACTTCAATTATCAACTTGAAACCATCACGAGTTCTATCAGCTTGATCGCTTCCATCACTGAAGCATCTTTGATAGTCCCGGCATAGTTTGACTCAACAGTGTCCGACACTCTCGCTTCATTTTCCGGACCTGATCGCCATTTGAACTTACCCGCGTCAGCCGAAAGTCTGTCATCGCGCGCATCATCGAAACATCAACAATGGTTCGCAGTGTCGCATTTTACTGTCGCATATAATCCAACAGCCTCAAGTCCCATTCAAGGCGCGCAGGCGCATCTAACTATCGCGTCAATTTCAGCGGTAGCCGACCGCATTAATCCACCGCAATCATGAAGCTATTCACAGCATCTCTCATCTTATTCTCATGGCTCGCCCAATTTCCCGCCGCAATGGCCGGCAGGGTTCTCGAGTCAAAATCGCTCAACAGTTGTCAACAAGGTTCCCTATTGACTGCCAGTCTCTTTCACGTTGTCGTCACACCAAACAACTCACTGGCAACCGTTAACGTGAATGCTCTGGCGTCTATCCAAGGCTATGTAAACTTTGATGTTACACTCGAAGCCTATGGCCATCAATTCATCCACGAGGTTGTCGACCCTTGCAGAACTAGCTTCGACCTGTCGAGTCTATGTCCTATGGCACCCGGTGATATCGACATCAAGTTCAACTTCCCAATTGGCAATGCCTTGGATCAGATTCCCGGTATCGCGTATGGCATTCCTGACCTGGATGCCACTGTGCGCGCATATATCAACATGACCTCCACAGGCGAGAGTATTGCATGTGTCGAGGCTGATTTCTCCACTGGTAAAACCGTCGAGCAACTCTCAGTCAAATGGGTCACTGCCATCATTATTGGAATCGGTCTCGTTTCTTCAGCACTCATCTCGCTAGCCGGCTACGGCAACGCAGCTGCTCATCTTGCCGCCAACACTTTGTCACTCTTTGCCTACTTCCAGGCCCAGGCTATCATCGGACTTACTGCTGTTACCATGCCACCCATCGTGGATGCTTGGACGCAGAACTTCCAGTGGTCTATGGGTATCATCCGAATGGGCTGGATGCAAGATATCTTCACTTGGTATGACCGTGCTACAGGGGGTAAGCCAGCTCGTCTCTTTGACAATCTCGCTACTGCTTCGGTCCAAGTTGTGAAAAGGTCTTTGGAAAGCATTCCTGGTGCTGCAGCTCTGATTCGTCGTGACTTCGCCTTCTCGAAACGAGGCAATATTGAACTCGAAACCGGCTCATATCTGGTCTACGGCATCCAGCGCGTGGCATTCCGCTCACATATTGAGACAACGAATCTCTTCCTAACCGCCATTGTCTTCTTCGGTATTTTTACTGTCTTCGCCTGCATCCTAGTCTTCCTTTTCAAGCTCGTCCTCGACCTGTGTGCAAAGCAGGCTTGGATCAAGCGTGAGCGCTTCCTCGAATTCCGAACTGAATGGCGTACCATCCTGAAGGGAATTCTGCTGAGACTCACCTTCATGGGCTTCCCTCCCATCACTATCCTCTGCCTCTGGGAGTTCACGCAGGTTGACTCGGCTGCGCACGTTGTTCTCGCAGTCTTCTTCTTTTTCACAGTTCTGCTCACCCTCGCCGCGGCAGCTTTGAAGATCGTCACACTCGCGAGGCACAACAACCCGGTCGTTACTCTATACTCGAATTCGCGAATCCTCAACAAATGGGGATTCTTGTACATCCAGTATCGAGCTACAGGCTACTACTTTATCGTGCCCCAGCTTGCTTACATCTTCGTCAAGGGCATGTTTGTCGCTCTGAGTCAGAAGAGCGGCGTTACCCAGGCAGTCGCCCTAATTCTCATCGAAGCCGCTGCTCTCATCGCCACCAGCGTCATGCGTCCCTTCATGGACAAGAGCACGAACTCCTTCAACATTGCCATCTTTGTTCTCAACTTCCTTAACGCCATCTGTCTCTTCATCTTCACCAATGTTCTCGGCATGCCTCGAATGGGTCCCTCCGTCACTGGCCTCGTTCTCTTCGTCGCCAACGCCGCGTTCTCCCTGATCCTGCTGCTTATGATCATTATATCGAGTGCCCTTGTCTTCTGGCGAAAGAACCCAGATGCACGATACCAATTCATGGCTGATGACAGAGCTTCGTTCATGAAGTCCAGGTCGTCCACACAGATCGATACCATGACACAGCTCGACGCGTTGGCTGCCACCGCCCGCGGAGACCCAACAGCTCGCTCTCGCCCTGTATCGAGATCTTCGTCAGAGCTTGCAGCGCCTGCATTTCCCAATGCCGGGGCCAAGCATACTTCGACTTCGACTCTATCTTCAAGGAGCCCGCATAAAGACTCACAAATAGATATCAGGGAAACAGAGCGGTAGAGTATTCTCATTGACGTACGATGAGACATTCTCAGACGGAGTAAGATAAATTTACACTGTTTTATATTGTAATTATTGCCTGCCCCTTTGAGGTAGGACTTGAACATTTCGTGAAAAAATATAGGTTAAGGAGTTGATATTGTATTTTCTTTAAGCTGGCCAACTCGTACAACAGATAAGGTGTATAGTGATTTATAAATTTCAATGAGATGAAGACATAGATTTATGACGGTTTTGTTTTTCTCCACGGGTTACTCAGTTAAGTGCTGCCTATAAGGTCTAGCTTTAGACTGTAAATATAAGCGATGATTGATCCTCCACGGTTTACAATGCCTCCAATGCATCCACCAAGACGACTTAACTTCGTATGTCAAATTGCAAGGTTCTGGGTTTCGATAATACCAAGTTCGATCATCTTGCCAGATACATTAGCGGCATCGGTGTAGACCCTTTGAAGGGCGGTAAAAGAGTCATAATCTAGGTTTTCATCTGAGCGGCATTCGCTTATGCTGTAGCCTTTGGCCAGAGAATTATTATCATTACTTCTATCAGGTTACTATAGTCCCGTATTTTATCCACGATTATGATATCCCAGCCCATTCCATATTCTCCTTTATGATCTATTGTGTCCCTCTAAATCTTTATGCATGTGTACCTCCTTTTTAGCTGATCCATTCTGCCTTAACTCCTAAATCATTCTCCTGAATGAACCTCGCCCTCCTTTTGTCTCTTTTCTCCCTTTTCGCTCTCCAGAATGCGTCATCGTCATCATCAGTGCTATCTTCCTCGACGGCAACACTGGTACGGGGAATATCAGATCTATTGTTGTCCCAGTTACTGAGAGACATTGTTTCGTCGTTCTTGGTTGCCTTTGCCGAAAGTGTTTGGTTCACAGCTTTGGAAACTGGTCTGTAACGACTTGGAAGACCTATGGTGTTTCGTTCTGACGGTGCCACTGACGCTGCATATCCACCGGGTTGCTGATAAACAGATCTGGCGTAATTTGAGGGTGCGTAGTTCGACTTCGCATAGATCGAAGGCGCGTACTGAGACGGCGCATACGTCGACCCCGCACCGGGCGGCCCCATGTTCATGACCGGCTGCTGAGATGAAAAGGCATTCCAGGATTGGTTGTTTCTCTGGTTCATAGTCGCCATGGATCTCAGAACCTCAGTCTGAGCCTGCAATAAGTTGAACATCTCTTGATTAGAATGGAGTGGGGACAGCTGAGGGACAGCAACTGGAGTTTGAGGCCTGGAGAAGGCCATCGGGGTCTGCGCCCCTGGCAAGCCAAAAGAATGCGCTATTCCGACCGGTTGTGCCGTTGCGTGACACCAATTGAAAGCCTCGTTGGTGTCGGGCAGAGGTTGGAAGCCGGTGCTAGGGAGCACACGACGAGCCTTCTTAGCGCGCTCTTCGCTCGCTATCACGCCGACCAAACCACCTGGGATGATTTGCTGGTTGTTCAAAGGCCAGGCGGTTTGTGGGGGTCCTGGGTAGATATCTTGCGGAAGACTCCTTGCAAATTCGGGCATTGGTATCCGTGAGTTTTGTCTGATGTTAATTGGTAGGAGCTGCGAGATGGACTCTCCCCTCATGTGACCGAAGTTAATGACGGATGGAGCTTTGCTGCCTGATCTTCGCTGAATCTGCAGCAGTGCTAAAGGCACATCCTCATCTTCATCTTCGTTGTCATGCCTTGGGACGAGATCTTCTCGCAAACCTTGAAAAGCCTTGAACGACTTCATGGACCACGACGAAGAGATGCGCGAGTGAGAGTGCAATGGTGGGAGATCAGGCCCATTTGTACTCTTCATCATCTGTTGTCGATAACCGCCATCGAGATACGCCTGCTGCTTCTTACGCTGCGCTTTCTGCCTGTTCACAGCCTCGGTATCGTCTATACACTCGTAGTCAACTTTGTCGTCCTCCTCTTCTTCACCGCCGTAGAAGCGCCTCTCAGCTTCTTCTCGGGCTTTGCGCTTTTGGAGAGCTTCGAACTCGGCCGCTGTCATGACCTTGGCGTGGCTTATTCGAGATGTCGGAGGAGGTCGTGGAAGGTGTGCTTCTACCTCGCCGGCTTCGGGCACTGAGTCAAGTGGTGGAACATATAGATCGGCGAGATCTTCAAGACCTTCATGGATCTGGTATATTGGCCTTGGCCTTGGCCTTGTCGTTGGAATACGGGAGTGTGAAAATAAGGGCTCTGAATCTGCAGAGTCCGGTGTATTTAGGCTTTCATCATTGATGAATGGCCACCGTGGAGTATGGCCGGCTGTTGGGCCAATCAGTTGCTCGAATTCGGAGAAGTCCTGCTCTGTTCGATCGTTTTGGTTGTCTTGAGTATTCCAAGCCTGCGAGTAATGCTCAATAATGCCAGCGTTAGACGAGAATCTCAACGTTGATGGATCACTTGGTGTAGTTGGAGAAACGGCCTGAGCGTCGCTTGAGGTGCGGACATTTGTGTCGATCGGTTCAAGGTACGTTCCCGATTTAATGAGCGGTCGAATCTTAGAGATGTTTAGATCGAGAGGACTGGTTCGGTGCAGAGTCGACGCCGTAACATCCATGCTACGACCTTGAGCATGGCCATGTCGGCTTGACAACGACAGCGATTGAGTACCATCATGGTTCAAATGAGTGTGTGGTATCGTGCTCAAAGACATGAAGGGCAGATGTCGCTCAAGCGCGAGTAAGAACAGGATGATCATAGGACCAATGCTCATGGGGAGATCGCCAGTCGCTGAAGAATTATCTTCAATATGTCATCGTTGCCAAGACACCCCTTGGCTCAGTATCCTCCCTTAAAGGGATGGTGTCTGCGCATGGAGAGCTTCAATGTCTCAGCCTTGAAGGGAGTGAGTCTCCCTTGAGTACAAGGGTGGAGAGCATTCTTAAAATAAACATCACCGCTTCTCAAAACCTTGAAATCAACTTTAAGTTCTTGTTCTTCTTGAATTGGCTTTACCCGTATAGATAATCACGAAGCATATATACCCACCGTAGCAACTCCCTGGACGTTTGGGCAGCCCAGCTCATACGGCGTAAGATGAGTCTCTCAATTGATAGCGCCAACGGTGGCATATGAATAAAGTGTTTCACGACGCACAAAATAGCCTTATCACATGAGGCTATCTGCAGGCAGTGTTCTTCGCGACATCATTGACTGTGTCAGCGGTCTACTCGCCGAACTGGACCCGACCGGTCTATCCCGCTTCTATGACCGCGAGAAGACGGAATCTCCGATGCAGGGACGGAGGAATGCGCTAAATTCCAATTTAGCATAAACGACTGCCGGTATGGTCTAAACGACAACCATTCTGAGCCAGCTCGTAATAAACCATGATGGTATTCGAGAAAACGTCTCAGGGGTCTAAGAACAAAGGCGATATGCAATAATATGCCAGTCGTCGTGCCGACGGCATAACGCCAAGAAAGATGTTTTAAACTCAAGGCTACGGTAGATAATTGCCGAGGACACTTTATTAAAGTTTACTGAAACAAGCGATTGTAACATAGGAAATTACAAAGATGTCATTGCTAAATGACCTTCCTAAAAAGGGTCAGTTAGAGATGTCTCAAAGTTAAAGCGATTGCTCAATTGGCCAGACCGCCGAATGGACTCGTGTGATGAGAATTTTATAGACTCAGGTAAATTCGCACTAACATCCGAATCAACCCTATTTTCCATCTTGACAGCGGCATCTCGTTGCTTCCCTCAGACTACCTCACATCGTCCTCGTTTACGCCCATGGTGAAGATGCTCACTTGCAGACCCTCTCGAAGGTCTCGTTCAACTTTCCACCGCAGTTCTGAATTTGCTGAGCCTCATACTCAAGACTAGCATAGATCTGACATCCTTCACCACCCATGATCCTGCCAGTCTCCTCGCTGCCTCCGTACTTGAGAACCCTGGCAGCCATTCCGGCAGCAACGGCCTGGTTCCTGGTGGGGTCATTCAAAGCCGTGCCATTGTTGAACTTGGCTGCTCCTGCAACAGCAGCGTAGCCTAGACGACGAGCGTAGAGAAAGCTGATCTGCTCGTCGATGGCATCGATGAATTTGCGCGCACATGCCAGAGCTTCGTCAGGATCAGTGGACTTGCAGGATGATACAGCAACAGGAACATCGTTGAGACAGGTGACGTTGTATGGATATGTTGTGCTGTGAGCTGATAAAGGAGAGCCTGGGTAGTTATGCGCTGTGGCGTTGATAGACGGCTTCTCAATGCATCTTGCGATCTTTGCAGATGATAGGCGACAGGAACCTGCAGCTGCAGCTGTGCAGAGCAAAAGGATAGTGTAAAGAGGCGATGTAAAATGCATGGCTGTTGGTTAGGATAAGTAAGAGAAAGAAAAGTAAAAAGAAAAGGAAAGAGGTAAAAGGAAAGGAAAAAGATATAAAGAGAAAAATAAAAAGAAATTAAAAAGTTAATTATATTAGAATAGTTATATATATATTTATAATTTTCTTTTTTACTTTTTTAAAAGATTAAACTTTTTTATATATATAAATATAAAACTTTATTATTTTACCTTTTATATTAATAATTAAAAGTTTAATAATCTAAATAAAAAAAAGTTTTTTATAATAAAATATAAAATATAATATTTATATTAATTATTTATTGTATAGTTTTAACTTAATAATAATTTATAAATAAAATTTAAATATTTAATAAATTATAAAAATTTTAATAATTAAATTTTTAATTAAATTAAAGTTTTTATAAATTTATTTAATAAATTATTTATAGATTATAATATTTTTAATAACTTTATTAAAAATAAAAATACTATTAATTAATTAACTTAAATATTACTTATTTATATCTTTTTTTACTTTATATTTTTTATATTATATTATTCTATAATTTAATTTAATTTATTATTAATCTATTAAGCTAGCTTTAATTTATTAATATGTATATTTTTTTCTTTAATATTAAAACCTATATTTTCTAATTTACCTTTTTTTTTTTTCTTTTTTTAATTTCCCTT